ATAGCTTATCTAGCCTTTATATTTAGGAGCAGATTTATTCTTGTGAGGAATCAAACTGCTGTTTTCTCACTTTTTTGATCCAAGAACCAAGAACTCCTGTGCAAGAACGTGTATACATAGTTTATCAAGTCATAGATATGTTTTCACTGGAGTAACTGCCAGAAGAGCTTCTGGTTGGCTAATCTCCTACTGAGCTGTAACAAAAAAAATATGTATATGTCTGTGTATGTCTCTTCCCCAAGATGCAAACCTTTATATAAAAATGATTGACAATAAATTCTGACAGACAGGAACTAGATAATTTCAGAAATACTGCAAACCATACAAATATAATATATTCTTCTGTAAGTGGTATGGTTTAATAACATAAACTGATAGTATGAAATGGCATGTTAGAGGCTCATTAGACACTGACAGCTGTAAGCATTTCAAGATGCTATATTAAAAACATCTGCTCTAAGGAAAAAATAGCACTACAAATAGAAAGCAATAAAAAGTTGAGAACAGTCTTACATCCAATTTATTGTCTGGTAGCTACCAATTCTAAGAATGACTAAGACCTCCCAGTTTCAATAAGTTAAATCTAGCAAGAGCCAGATCCCTGGGATCTGGGCACACTGTGCTTCAGGTTGCACATTTTGTCTTATATTCCCTGGCTTGTGGAGCATGTATTTTGTGAAATGTCTTCATAGAGCTATCCCATGGGAGGAGGTTCCAATTAGCAAAGTAACCACTACGTTACCAGTATCTTCTCACCAGTTCTGATCTAGCAGATTTTTCACTCGGCATAGTCAAGACAGGTTTCAGACCTGGAGAAATCCCGAGATGCAAAGGAAGAATAAAGTGTTTTCTTAGGGTATTATGTAGTAATGGGAAAATACATGTGGAGTCGATCACCCACAATCCAGATGCAGCTACTGTTTGGCATCTGCTTCTCCTGTTTCAAATTTTGTTTTTCCTGAAGCTGACTTGCTGTACCTTTGGTGTCCTCAGCTACCAGGTGCTGGCATTTAGACAAGGAATCCAAGAGGAGGTGACCTCATGATGCCTCTACACCAAATAACACAAAAAAGTTTAAAAGACCCAAACAAACCCAATTCCTCTCCTCATTCTCCTAAGCTGGAGCCATGAGCTGCTCTTATCTCCAGACAGGGGCACTTCAGAGGTCACCTTGCTGGTCTCAGAAGGCTCCTGAGCCTCTTGGCCTTGCAAAGCAGAGAGGAAAGTCTCAGTCATGGAGATGGGTAGGAGGAGCCCTTCCAGAGAATCAAAATACAAAGAGACTTGGTTGAAGCAGTTGCAGCCATGGATGGAAGCTATTCCTCCTATTCTGTTGGAGAAAAATATACCACTGCAAACTGAAATTGAAATTGTAGTACTTTGTGAAATGCTGTTCTGTTTTCTAAATAAAGCTAAGTGTTTGAAGATGGAAACTGTCAACAAGAAGATACTTATGTGCAGCTTTTCCTTTATGTAAAAGTTTTGATTCAACATTTTTTAGTGCCATTTCATAAGAAAACTTTCAGGATTTCCGGTGACTCTGGAAGCACGAGTATCTGATGCCTGGAAATTAGACTGACAATGAGCATCAAAGCAGATGCTCTCCAAGAATCTCGAGTTGCTTTTTTCTCACTAGACAGAAACCTGAAAGGGAAAAATGTCTCTAATGGAAACCCATTGAAATGTAGGAAAGCTGAGCAAGCAGGTTACACCATCGAAACAGGAGACTCCATCCCTCTTGAGAACGGGATGAGCCTGAAAGTTTAAAAGCACAGCAACAAAGCCAGATTCCTGACACTTCAATTGCTGACCATCAGCTGAGCTGTATGTACTACTCTCAAAATGCCAAGTAATGCCACTGCACGTAGCCCACGTGAGAGAAGGTTTGATCCCTTTGCATTCTGCCAAACCTGCACATATCCATGGGCAGTCTCTGCCTCAGCTGACGAGTAACTGGGGCAGGTGTGGTAAGGACTGAGCTGGGGACACAGTGGCTGTTTATGCATCTTGTCCAAAGCCTGCAAGGAGATTGTAGTATCTCTCCTTTCACTTCAGCCCATGCCAAAGGGGAAGGGAAACGAGAGCCACTGCAGCTACTGATCTGTAACATCTACACAGTACTCCAGACATGGAGACACATTCCCCTTGGCATTTAGTGTGCTACTGGAAGAAAGTCTTAAACACGTGAACACAAACTTTTTGATATTTCTCATTTTTAGAGTCTCTCAAGCTGTTAGGAAAGAAAACAAAATCTCACAAAACATTTCATCAAAGTGCTGGTCTTGAGTATAAATTAGACTTCCAGCAACCCATTTACCCAAAGCCATCCTTCGACAGATATGAAGTAACTATTCCTCTTGCCAATCCAAAGGGAATTTCATGGGCAATTGCTTCCTACTTCCATTTTGAACCAAGGACTCAAGAAAGATTTATTTCTTAGCAAACATATGAAAGCTTCTCTAGTTGTGTCTAAATATTTATGTTCATGTCTATGTAGTAAAGATTGCATCTCATATGGAAGAAAGAGGTACAGACAAATAAAGGAAGTCTCGGTGACAAAGGGAAGTGATGAAAACTGTCAACCAGTTTGAAGGTTAGACAAATGGCTTCTGAGGCCCAGATCACAGCACTATAACTTCATTGTTACTAAATGCAATTTTGCACAGTCTTAGGAGAGGTATTCTGTACAGCACATCTTTCATAATTAAGAAGAAAATTATTGTTTCTTTTCCAAGTCAAATAAACGATGTTCATCTGGGGGGGGGGGAAGGGGGTGGGTAAGAAAAGTGTTGAGCTGGTCCAAGAGACAATTTTGAAACTTTAGATTGAGAGGAGTCTGAAAGTCTGAGCTGGGGACAAAGGACTCATCTGCAGCATCACATAAAAGGCCCTGGCACAGAAAGCTGTCAGGATCCTGGCTGCAAATACTCAGGGCATGTTGAAAGCCTGAGGACCACAGACCTGAGCCAGCACCGTGGAGCCAGAGGGCAAACCTGCAGCATGTGCAGCACCAAATCCCAGCAGACACATGCAGAAGGGATCAAAGGCAGTGTGAGCTTTCCCCACCTGCTGCCCTGCCTGCACATCCCTGCCTGCACAGGCTTTGCATTGGCCACAATGGGGTCTCTGGTCATGGTTATCATGGTGCTGCCTAACAGCAGCCAGAAAGCACAGAGATTCTCAGTGCAGTGTGGGATGGGGTTTGCAGATGGGGGAGTTTGTGTTTTGAGTCTCACCTGCTGCCCACTGAGAGATGATCTGAGTAAATGCTGTCAATCCCATGGGAGGGCAGGCTAAGAAATGAGCAGGGTTAGAGTTAGCTGTTATTCTTCATCATTTCAGTTTGAGGGTCTCCCTGTGCCTTCACTGTATTGCCACATACTGCCAATCTCCATGCTGACCACGAGCTAGGAGAAAAAAGCTTCAAGAAAACATTTTTGCTCTTAAGAAATCCTTCAATTACAAAGAGTCATCTTAAATGTGGTACTTCTAGTGATGTGCTTGATGTTCCTTCTTTCATCTGCTGGACTTCAGCAATAAACTCAGTAATTGTGGCCATTCTCACAGTAAGTGTGGCAGGTTCACTGTGCCAGCTGAGATGTATCATTTGCCAAGAGTGGCAAGGCTAGTGGCTGGGTTTAGGCTAAGTCCCTGGCAAATTCCAGTGCTGAGTCCACTGGCAAGTCTTCAGAGACAACCTCTGGGACTGTTTTGGATTCAGGCAATTGCTGGTTTGGCCTCTGTCTCATGTCTTCTTGGACATAGCTCCCCTTTGTCTTCCTCTCCATGACATGTATTCCCTTTGAAACAATTAGAACCTCCTCAAGCTCTTTGTTTCTAATTCTGGGCAGTTTAGCACAAAGTATATTTATGCTAATTGCATACTGAAAGTACACTCTGCTTGGCTTGGCTTTCCCTTGCTAGGACTTTTAAGAATATATTTGTCATTGCTGGGAGCAACATTGAATTTGGGAGAGCCACAAACTTAAAGGGTCTGGCCTCACCTACTTTATTCTGTCCTGTAATTGAGTAGCACTGGGTATTGATGTCTTGAAAGTTTTCCTGCTCTTGTTTCACTTTAAAATGTCAGCTCTACTTTAGAACTTGATGTTTGCCATCCAAATAAACATACCTGTTCTGAATCTGGCTGCTTTTAGGCTCAGATCTAAGCATATCTCTGCAATGAAGCAGAGATGGGAGTGGACAAAAAACTTTAGAGGGTGTATCCCAAACCAAGGCTTATGGTGCATGAAATGAGTTCCTGAAGTGAAAACTAGCACAGGTATTTCTACACAGCATGGAGCACATTAAGGTTTTGCACAGAAGAGATCTCCAGTGGACAGAGCACTAATCCAGTGCTGTTGATCAAGATTCTCCGGCCAAAGGAGAGGCCACTCTGTACTGTTAACAAATCCAAACAGAAGAAAGGATAAAAATATATTTTTAGAAACCTTCCATATTTCTAAAAAGAATATTCTGCTTAGCAATACTTAAATGTCTACAAACAACATTTGTCCCCATACTTTTCTTTCCTCTCTCCCCCCTCATTCCTTCATTTTTAGGTCCTTTCCCACAGTAAGCTGTCTCCAGTATTTCTGCTTCCCATTCCTCCTTTCACAGGCTGTTTCCAACAGCAGAAGTTAATGTTGTAATTCCAGCAATTATGGTGTAACTGGAACTAAAATGCTGGGAAGCAGGGAGATGACTGATGGCTATTGTTCTTTTCACATATTAAGGAGAGACAGAAAGAGAAGCACCTCAATACTTTCCTTTTCTTGTCTATCTGCTGGTTCTTTGGTCAAAATTCTGTTAAGTTGCTGGTATGAGTGTTTTAAAAGAACATCCTCAATTTCGGATGATGAAAAGAAAGCATTTCTGGAGGAAAATGCACCCAACCAGGCCCATCTGCAGGGTGACACACACAGCTCAGCCAGGTACAACCCAGCTGCAAACTGGAGGCTGTTGACCACCCAGACACTGCTGAGGCACAAGGCAGAGCTGGCTCATCCTGTTGAGATGCTGACATATCTCCACCAGGTCCTGGTTACCTTCAAGACTCTATGCAGCACTATGTTGGCCTAGCAGTTTTAGCTGATTTTCCTTTCTTTTCCTGCTAGCTTCAAAAAACCTGTTCATCTGCTCTCCCCCTTGGATGGGAACATCTTGCATATGATATTGATGTGCCTGCTAGGCATGTGGGTGACCCCAACTTCAAAGTCAAACATCCTTCCCAGCACAATCCTCTCAGAACTGTGTCACTGCTCCTTCAGCAAGGCACACATGCGGATCCAGCTAGAAAAATTCCATCCAGACAGGCAGCCATCTCTCACAGTGCTTGGGAGCATGCAAGTAGATTTCATTAATAAAACTGCTCCTGAATGCTGTTGTTGCATTTCACAACTATTTTGAGTTTGCTACGTGGTAATGGCAGCAGAAGGCTAAACATGACCTGCAAATTCCAGCCCAGAAGCAGGAAATGGCCTCTGTGAGCTCCCAGCTGCTGCTGCAGTGGTGGGGAGAGCTGGCACACCTGAGCCTTCAGGCTCTGGCACAACTTATTAGTACAACCCTGCCCTAAATGCAGTTGTAGTACAGGAGATAGAATGGCTTGTAGTCATCTCCCATCTTCAGAATATTTTGAGGTGGAAGCAAACCCACCTCCTGTACTTTAGCATCTGCTGTTCAAGGGACTGGTGGCTGGAGTGGGATGGGCTGGTGGGGACATGCTGTCTCTAAGCTAACTCAAAGCAGCATGTGCAGGCACTGACTCGTCCTGGCATGGAGCCTGCACTGCCACGAGTCCCAGAACAGAGCAGAAAATGCCTGGCACCAGGATTGCCCTTTACATCCTGGATTTGTCCTCAGTGGGCAAGGCTGAAGTTCAAATGGCTTCCTGTTTTCTTTCCCAAAAGAAAAGGATACAGTCAACATCCGGCCCAAATACCCCAAGGATATTACTTCAATTTATCTTTCAGTTTGGGCTGTTTCAGTTTCCCAAACTGTATTCAGCCCCATGAAGAAACAGACACCTTACAGGCCGAAAGGACTCATTTGTTAAAAAAAAATAAATGTCAGTGGGTTCGTGCTGCTGGATTTATGGCTGAGAAAGTAACACACAGACAGAGCCCTGCACTTTGATAGCTTAGCACTTCTGTGATGTGTGAATGAAGTCCAGCAGGCCCAGGACCACGTTAATCTCAGAGGTTTGATCTCTGTCTGTAATGAGATGCCAGCAGCCCGTACTTCAAAGCCTGCATTGATACAGATAATCTTCTGAAAGGCTCTCTGCATTTTGAAGCAGCTTGTATTGGGGATTACAGTGACAACAGGAGGAGATGATGGAAAAGGAGGTGATTGTTTGATGCTCATTCCTTCAGTTCCTTTCCAATATTCCTTTTGTATTTGATTTCCAAAGGGTGGTGCAGTCCTGTCCCCCATGCCCCCAGCTCAGCAGGACTCAGTCTTGTCAGATGAACCCTGTGTACTCTAGGGCAGACAGGCTGGCTGAAATGCTCTTCTTCCCAAGAAGTCTGTGAAAATGCATCTGTTTGTGCTGAAGTGATGGATGCTACATCATCTTGGCTGAAATATGGGCAGATATTGCATTAGAAATGGCATAGGCAGTTAATTGTTACACTTCCAAACTTCTGAGGTTATTTCTTTCTCAAAACTGCTGTAAGGGAGTAGGGGAAAGGATAAAGAGGACAGGACACCACAGGCTATGAGAAGCATGTTATAAAACATAAAATGAACACTAGTTTCATATACACAATTATGCTTTATTTTGAAAGTATATCATTTTCAAGGCATGTCTGACCAGGAAACAGAATTGAAATATTTTTATGTTGATGAACACTACTCATCTAAGAGAAAAATGGTCTTTGTCTTTTCACCATCACACACTTAGATCCCTTCCTGAGCAAAAGAAACCCAGAACTCTTTCACAGACATAATAAAATGCAAAGAGGGAAAGTGTATAAATGGGGGAAGTGAACATAGGAGGTAAGGCAGCGAAATCTTTCTTTCAATACAGTGAGCGCTGCATGGCAGATACCACACTTGGAGTAACATACACAGTATCAGGAGAGGCTTGAGAACGGGTAGGTGTTGACTTGACTAAATCACCAGGTGAAAGAGATTGGTTGATTTCCAAAAGTGTCATTCAAGGAGCTCTATCCAATGGTCATGGTAAATTCAGTGGGCTGAAAGTAAAAATATAGTTAGGCCATAAAACATTTTAAGGAGCAATGGCATAAAAGGAATCAAAGGTGATTCTAAGAACTGCTTCAACACACCAGGATCAAGTTTGGCAGAGGTCTGACCCTGGGGCCAGCTGAGTCTGAGGTCTAAAAGCCATGCTCAGGAACAGCAAGACCACTGCAGAGAAGCAAGGTGAATTCTGGGTGTCCATGGTTCTTGCAGCTAAAACTGGAACCTTCTTAGGAGAGGACTTGGCCAGAGTGTGTCTCAAATTTAGTGGGATTGCATGGAACAAACCATGGCAAAAACAGATGAGATGGAGACCACCAGACTACCAGGAGCAAACAGCAAGAGGTACAAGACAACTTAAGAATGTCTGGACTCAATTACTGAGATAGTTCCCACCTTGGGATGTCAGGAAGCAAAAGGGACACCAAGGTTAAAAGAGGTTAGGAGGATCTGGAGTTCTAGAAGCATGGAAACCTGAGATCTGTACCAGCCAAAGTAATAAAAATTTTAATAAAAGATAGAACTAGTGGACACCTTGAAACAAAATGATCTGGATAGATATGATCTGCTTGGTAAGAGCCAACATGGCTTCTGGAAATCCTGCTTTTACAACATCTCAGAGTTCTTGAAAAAAATAGCAAATGTATTGATTAAGGTTATCGATGAAAATCTATCCCCTTACTTTCATGGGAAACTAAGAAACTAGGGGAAGGAGGAAGTTTTGGCATAGAGAAATGGCTGAAAGGCAGGAAACAGAGAACAGGCAAAATGATCATTTAACTCAACAGAAGGAAGTTATCAGTGGAAATTTTAGGGACTTGCACAGAGGTCTGCTCTGTTCAAAATACCCATAAATAACATAGAAAAGGTCATGAGCAGTGAGAGACAAAGGTCACACATGATACAAAATTGTTTAAAGCAAAAAGGGCAGGTTGTGACAAATTGCAGACACGTCTCACGAGACTATATGAAATGTCAGGTGAAGTTTGGTGCAGCTAAGGGTAAAGAAAGAAAACACCCTGAAAACCAGTCCTGATTTCATACACCAAATTTTGATGGTTGAGTTGACCATTTTCTGTTGAGGAGCAGGCTTTGGGATTAGGAGAGGTGACTCCATAAAGTACAGCTGCACTGCTGCAGGGCTGTGGAACTCCTTGAAGGAGCATGCCAAAGACAGAAGTAGTTTTAACCAGGTCATGGGGAGACTGGACAAGTACTTGGAAGGAAATTCATTACAAATCACTTGAAAAACTGTCAGAAGTTCACAAAAAACCCAGTGCCTCTGCCTTGCTCATCTCCTGCCCCCAGACCAGGCTGCCTTTGAACCTTGGGGTCCTTATGGGGAGAAGTCAAACCACAAATGGCATTAATACCTGAGAGCCTACGAGGCTCTGAGAAGGCCAAGGGGAGACTGGGACGAGGTGGAAAGGAGGTGACAGTGACTTCATGGAGAAATCAACCCACAGAGCTCATACAGAGCAGCTGGGCTCTTGCACTACATACTTGTGGCCAAGCTGATGTTTAAGACATGGCATGTCTGGAGCTGTACCTCACAAACTGACTAGGGATTTTGAAACAATGGTAAGAGATAATTACTGCTCACAAAGTCAAATGTGAGGACAGGGAACAAAGACTAGATGAATCCAGTAATTAAGAGAGACAGAAGGGCATACATGGTCCCAGTGAAACTGAAGGTCTGCACTGAGAACCAGCAAAAGGGTTCAACTGGTTTAGCTAGGAAGCAGGCAGAGGCTGACTGGTTGGGAAATAAATTGACTGGATTAAGGGAATGCATTCTCATCTGAGCAGGGTTACAAGGCACAAAATCCAGGGAAAAAGAATACTTGCAGGTGACCTGTTTCACAGGATGACTCAAACACAGCAATATGAGGAAGAGAGATCTTTGAGGGAAAAGATTTTGAAGCAGTTAATATTGAGGCAGTTAATTTTGTATTTACTTTATAAAATATCATGATGGGAGTAGCCAGATGAGAAAAAGTGAAGGGGAGGCAGAGTGAGATAAAGAGAGAGAGAGAGGGGGGAAAGATGGAAAGAGAATGAAAGAGTGTTAAAGTACCAGGCACAAGGAAACTAAAAGATTAGTTTCAGTCCATGAAGTAAAACATGTGCATGGAAGCAAGAGTGAGAGATGCACAGGTGAGGACTGTGTTTGATTTCAGTGACATTACAGACACATCTGCTATGTCTCATACCCAGCTCCATGTCACCTCACTCCTCTGTCTGCACATGAGACTCATGTGAAAACTTCTGGTGGATCACAGAACTGTGATTTTCGTTTTTTCACAAGCCTTATGGTGTTAGCCCTCCATGAAGAGTGCTGCATGCATCCCTGCTCCACCTGATTCCCCTTGGATTAGAAGTTTGTAATCCAAGGGCACAAAGAGCCTCACAAATTTCAGAGCATCTCCATTCTCAAGGAGGGCTGCAGGTCCCAGTTCAGAAATCTTGGTGGATCCAGCCAGTGTGTTCATCCTCAGATCTGACCAAGCCCCAGAGGCCCAGGAGCCTCACAGAGAGCCTCTCTAAACACACAGTTGGTGGAAAGGAAAGGAATATGGATAAATGTATTTTTCAAAGTTCTACTTCCTCAGAAGCAGCACACCACAACTGCACTATCAATTATAAATTGGAAAAAATCCAAAGAATTGCTAAGGCTCCTAGTCTGTGATTAGGCAGAGGCCTTAATTTATGCTTGCCTATATCTAGAGGATGTCTGCTAGTCAGGGCTAAACTAAGCAGATTTCATCAAAGCTATGTACTGATTTGCACTGTTAAACCAGCAGCTGCTGCAGAGAAAGTTTCCTGCAGAGCCACTAGTGACACAGCATCCTCTTTCAGGCAGTCTTGATGGAAGGAGGAGATAAATCCTGACTTTTTGTGTCTTGCTCTGTCTCAGCTTCCTTTGGACAAGCCATGCTGTGTTGAGTGCAGGAGGCTCTTACACCCAGAGGGAGGAGGGGGCATGAGGAGGAGGAACACAGCATGAGGAAGCTGGAGGGGAAACTCTCCCCGTGTTCCCCACTCCTCAAAAGATCAGCACTTCAACATGCTGAGCACCTGCAATCTGATTTCTGAGGTGAGGCTCCCCACACAGATGCAGCATTTCCCTTCTTCATCTGTGCAGGAGCACAGGGTGGTATAAAGGGTGTACAAATAAATAAAATTTAAAATCCTCCCCAGCTTCAGTGATGCATCAACTAGATGTGCTCTGCATTCACAGGAGCTAATTGTCCTCCTCCAAAAGGCAAAATCCACAGTAAAGCCGCAGCAAGAGATGTTTAACTAGTTTTTAACCAAATTATTTATTTATTATGTAAGTAAAGAAAAAAGGTCATCAAAATTACTGACCTCCTTTTGGACTTGAAAGAATCACAAATCCTGTTTCATTAATGACAGAAGCAATGACTTCCCTGTGAGGCAGTTGCATGTCTCTCTCTTTAGCAGAACAAGAAAGACAGAGAGTTAAATTAGATCTCTTGCTTCAGAAAGCATCAAAGAACAATTTTTATAGCACATGTTAAAGAGAGAATTTTTTGTGTAGTGTAATACATTACTATATTATATTAAATGTACTTTCCAAATATATATCCTCCTCCTGTCCCTCTGCTTCTATGAGATGTCTATTTACACTAAATTATACACCTCCAGAATAATAAAATTCTGCTACTCTTACTTCAAAGACTTTTCTTGAACATGAGCTAGAGATTTTCATCAAACATTTCACCCCACCTAAATGTTATTGCTTTTAAGTGTTTTCAGAACACTAAAGAAATCTCTCTCCAAGCTTTTAATTGGTTGAAGCAAGCACCTGCAAGATATAGGCAGTAATATTTTCCTAGAACACAGGCTTATCATGGCTTCAACTAGAGGGAATCTGTGTTTTATCTCACCTGATGCAGCACCTCATCTTAGTCTTAATTCACATTTCACTTCACTTCAGGTAACCTCTAGGGCACTTTTAATGACTACTGGAAATCTTCTCTAGCAGGCTGTACATTTTAGGAAGAAATCTTTTCACTGAAATCAATAGCTTCTGGCTTCTGGAAAGGTTTTACTCCTTGTTTCCAGCTACTACATACTTGGAAACACTCCTGAGTGCTTCTGACTCTATAGTGGCTGTAAAAATGCAACTCACTGCAGGGGTAGAGCCATAAAGCCAAGCCAAAATCTCAGGATTTTTCATTCTCTGATGTCTTATTTGCCTTTTCTGTCACCCCATACTACTATGCTGAGAAGACATGTACTCACACAGTGAGTAAAAAGCCATACCTCAGGTAAGACACCTGAGAATTGGTCTCAGCAGCCAACACACGGGGTTTCTGATTAGATGATTTTCTTGTGACAGGTCACAC